TAGATTCCCATTTTTATTTTCTATTCTCTTCCCCAATTTCTCCCTTTTCAATTGGCAAAACAATATATTACTGAGAAGGAAAGACATTGCAAGGAACTGGATAAGGTATCGTCTCATCAAAAGTAAAAAGAATCAAGAAAGAAGACTAAAGAGGAAAAGGTTGCTCATTTTTCCCGTTTTTTTTTTCTAACAATTGTTAAAAATGGTTTGATACGTATTTTATTAAATATTACAACCATATATATGTATATATTTGGAAGATTAAAAAAGAATAAATAATTAATTACATAAAGTATATTTGACCCTTATCATTCCCATTGACCCTTATAAAGTATATTCTCAAAAAGAATAAACGTTTATCATTCTTTGTAAACATTATTCCTTTTTGAGGTGACTCTTTTAGGTAATGCTTTGTAGGTTGCTTGTAAGTGCATTTTTTCTGGGTTGTGCATGAATTGACTTATAATACTTACTGAATAGGTGATGTCTGGTCTTCTGTAGGATAGGTATATTAATTTCCCAACTAAATCTCTGATAAATTTCCTTATTTGCTAACATATTTTCTTTCTCTACCCTTAATATGTGATTAAGATCAATAAAAGTATTAGCTGGTTTATATATTAACTTGCCAGTATATCTTAACAGATCACGAGTGTATTTTTGCTAGTAAATAAAGATTTTGGATTTTGAGTGAGTGAGTTCAATTTCAAGAAAATACTTTAACTTATCTAGTTTCTTTGTTTCGAATTTTATTATTAGACATTGTTTTAGTATCAAATTTTTTTCTTGATATCTCTTGTTATGATAATGTCATCAATATATACTAAAAACGTTATAACTCCTTCTGTCTCAAAGTGCCTGATGAACAGAGTGTGATTTTTTTGTGTCTGTTTAAGTCTTAGGTTTATCATTACCCTTGCAAACCTGTCAAACTATGCAATTGGCGGTGCTTGAGTTCATAGAGTGTCTTCTTCACTTTATAGACCTTATTTAGTTCTGTTTCTCTATCAAAACTTGATGAAATATCTATGTGGATTTCTTCTTCTAAATCTCTATTTATGAGTGCATTTTTCACATCGATCTGTTGTAGTTACCAATCAAAATGAGTAGTTAATAACAACAAGATTTGCATAATGTTCATCTTGGCTAATGTTGTGAATGTCTTTTAATAGTTTGTCCCATAAATTTATGTATAACCCTTTGCTATTAGTATTGCTTTGTATCTCTCGATTGTCTTATTTATCTTATATTTAATTATAAAAACTCATTTGCATCTCACCGGTTTCTTATCTATGTGTAGATCTATCATTTCCCATATATGTTTTTTTTCAAGTGCTTGTATTTTCATAGTCATAGTATTTTTTTAATTTTTTTACAAGACAATGACCCAGATACTTCAGACTCAATATTCAAACTTATAAAAAAATTTTTATAGGATAATGAATATTTATCAAATGATACAAATTGTTAGATAAGTTAAGAAAATGTTTAGTGCATTCTTTAGTATTTTTACAAAGTGCAATAAATATATCACTATCAGACTGTATAAGTTTTTTGGAACTTACATCAATTTCACAATCAAGGTCCTATTCTTGGTTCGACTGAGGCTTGGAACTTGGAATCTTCCTCCTTGTATAGATCTAAGAAAACGTAGAGTTTGGTATGGTCTCTTGAGTAGATGAATTTTCTTGTAAATTGTGAAAACCTTTTTGTGGTGATGGTTTTGGGGTATGTAGAAAAGGTAGCAAGGTAAAGTCCATTAAGGATGTTATGTCCTTACATTCAATGTAGGCACTCTCTGAAAATAAGATTGGATGAAGTAAAATTCTTTTTTAATAAATGTGACGTCTGCATGTACATAATTTTGTACACATGGATGGTAACATTTGTACCCATTTGGGAGGAGGAGTACTACATAAATATACATACTAGAGCCTGGGGATCAAGTTTTCCTCTTAAATGAGAATGAATATAAACGAAGGCAACAAACTTAAATATCTGATGGATCAGATAGTTTGTGACACTCATTGCTGGGAAAACTTGTGAAGTGTTTCTAGAGAGCCTTTGAAGTCAAGAATGTTGGTGGACAAGCGGTTAATAATGTAGGTGACATTAATCTAATGGCTTTGCCCTAATATTATTTTGGGATATTGTTTTGGAAAAGAAAAGCTCTTTTGATGGCTAAAAGGTGGCTACTTTTACGTTCTAGTATTATGTTTCGTTATGAAGCGTGGATGCATAATGATTCATAAAGAATTCATTCTTGATGGAAGAGTGATAAAAGTGTGTGGTTAAAATAATTTTGTGTTGTTAGTGCAGAATCTTTTTCTGTAAGTCCCTAATTGAGTGTTTATCTTGCTATAGAATTAGGATATGATATGATTGTATTTAGGTTTGAGTAAGAACAAACAAAAGACTCTGGCCAATCGTTAGTAAATGACATAAACCATCAAACTCTAAAAATGTGAGGTGTGTGAGTTGGTTCCTAAGCATCATTGTGGACTAATAAAAAAGGAACTAAACTTCTTTTATTACTAATGATAAATGTTACACTCATAATTTGTATACTCACAGATAACGCAGTGTAAATTTTTATATGATGGATTCTTAAACAACAAAGGAAATATAATCTTCAAAATGGAAAAAAATAAATGTCCAAATCTTTTATGGTGGGGCCAAATCATGTGTCTTGAGTCATAGTAACGGTAGAGCAGGATCCCTAAGATCCTTCCAAGTAGTAGAGTCCGTTTCTGCTGAAGCACATCTAATTATCTTTCTCGAGTTCTGGTCCTGAAACTCACAGTAAGAAGAGTCAAATGTTATTTTGCAGTTCAAGTATTATGATAACTTATTGATGGATACAAGATTAGTTCACAGTTCGGGAACTTATAACATTTTTTAATATCAGGATAGAACTAAGTTTAATGTTGGCTTTTGCTTTCCATAATATTGAGAGAATTATTTGCAATGACAATTTTCTTATTACTTGGGTAAGGAACATATGTATGAAAATATTTAAAAGTATCGGTCATATGATTTATGGTTCCTAAATTTATAATTCAAGAATTTTCAAAGATTTACCTAATGCAGTTAAACCGTTTGAAAAGGTCCACCAATCAATTTCACAATCATTCAATCTCAGTTTTGAAAGTAGTGAGATTTGCATATGTGTCTTATTCTCATCGATTGGTTTTATGAACCTGTTTAAGAATCTTTGATGGGGTAGTTTTATATCCTAATTCTTTGCTAGAAATATTGTGCTTCCTGTGCAATTTCTAACATTTTTCTTTTGTGTATTGGGTTTTTTGTAAAACGTTCTCAGAGTGACTAACATCCTTTGCTTGTCGTCGAGATTTGGTATCTCGTGAAATCAGTGTTGAACTATTGGTGGAGCGAGGTTCTAGCATGACTCATCTTCTGCTCTTTTTCGTTGTTATAAAAAAATTTTCTTATTAAGTGATGATATTTTCTATTTTCTCAAAATTCGAACTCGTGTTAATCATATTTAGGAATTAGTCATGATTGAAATTAATGCACAGTCTTTTTTTATAAACTTTTTGAGATAGAATGCATATTTGTTGCAATCTATAGTAAGTGATACTAATTGAGTTCCTTGCTTTAATTTTTTAATATGTTAGGATATGTAAAAATTTTGAGAAAAATATTTACTTTATTTCCTCAATATATTTGGTATAACAGACAACTCATACATATACAAAATTCTCAAGTACTAATAGGAAAATTTCTCTTATAGTAGGGATACTAAATAATTACAATATTATAGGAAAAATTAATGATAAGAACTATATAGAAAAAATATAACAAATATTCAGGAAACAAAATATTCATGTCAACATTCTCCCTTAAGTTGGTGCAAAGATATTACACATGCCTAACTTGCATATCAAGTTTTGAAGAGTTTTGTTGTAGAGCTTTTTAGTGAAGATATCTGTCACCTGATTGGTAGAAGACACATGATATAAGTATAAAAAACCATCAACCACTTTATCTTTTATGAAATGACGGTCACTCTCTATGTGTTTCGTCCGATCAT